TTGTGCCACCAGTTGTGCAGTAGCTAACACTAAACAGCCAGCTTTACTATTGTGGGGAGCAATTATAACGTAAACATAGCGGATATGAACCTTACTGATTACATAAAAAAGCAATGATGCAAATTAAGTGTTCCACTAGTAACTAGCTCAATGCACTAGCACCATAAATTATATGAACTATAATAATAATATAATATAACATTAATATAATATAATATAATATAATATAATATAATATAATATAATATAATATAATAATAATATAATATAATATGGGTTTGAGCTGCACATTGAGCAAAAGATTCCTGCATTGTAGGGGGTTGGACTAGATGACCCTTGGGGTCCTTTTCAACTCTGCAATTATATGATTCTGAGTCTCAAATACTAGTTGCTAGAGATCAATAATGGGAGGTTGTTATTGCAATCAGGCTCTGCTTATAGAGTTTCCGTAGGCATTTGATTGACCACCATAAGAACAGAATGTTAGATCAGATGGGCTTTTATCTGATCCAGGAATCTTGTTTTATATATATATATATATATATGTTTTCGTAGATTTTCACGGGTACAGGAATGCAGGTTTTGGTGTCCTCGGGTGTCTTCCCGTGTAAAAGTTGGGGTGTCTAGGCGACGTTTCGACGAGGTCTCACTCGTCATCTTCAGGCTGGTGCTTTCGGCTTCTTGTTACTGGAACAGAGCAGGATCTCAGTGTTTGAGTTCCTATAAATACTGTTGAGGGGGTGTGGTGTATAGCCTCCCATGTTCTGGGCAGAGAGGGAGTTCCCAGGCTAGTGTGCCTATTCTTCTTTTGTTCCTTAATTACTTGAGGGATATCTTGAGTGATTTCTTGAGTGATATTCTGAGTACCATTTAGGTGGGTCATTAGGTGTGGATTAGTTGCTCAAGCCTTCGTGTCTTGACCTCTTGAACTTTGTGAAAAGTTTTTCTGAGAAGATGGCTGTACTGCACTTAGTTGTGCTCTGGCTTGGCTTCGGGTATAGGGGCGAGCTGTGGTTTTGTGCCCTGTGCCAGTCAAATCTGTGTAGGGATTGCAGGGGGGTGCAGCATCCGGAGGTGCCACCATGGTTTGGCTACTGGATGGTGTCTGTAATTTATCTGTGGAGAGGGTCTGGGTTTGGGTCTGGTGTGGTTGATTGGTGATGGCGTTCTGTGTGCCTCTGGATCTGGTGTCGGTTTTTGTGGGGAGGGCTAATTTCCAGATGTCTGGCAGGCGGGACGTGTCGTCACGCTTGTTCATGTTGTGAGGGTGTTTCTCTATCTCGAGATAGAGAAACACCCTCACAACATGAACAAGCGTGACGACACGTCCCGCCTGCCAGACATCTGGAAATTAGCCCTCCCCACAAAAACCGACACCAGATCCAGAGGCACACAGAACGCCATCACCAATCAACCACACCAGACCCAAACCCAGACCCTCTCCACAGATAAATTACAGACACCATCCAGTAGCCAAACCATGGTGGCACCTCCGGATGCTGCACCCCCCTGCAATCCCTACACAGATTTGACTGGCACAGGGCACAAAACCACAGCTCGCCCCTATACCCGAAGCCAAGCCAGAGCACAACTAAGTGCAGTACAGCCATCTTCTCAGAAAAACTTTTCACAAAGTTCAAGAGGTCAAGACACGAAGGCTTGAGCAACTAATCCACACCTAATGACCCACCTAAATGGTACTCAGAATATCACTCAAGAAATCACTCAAGATATCCCTCAAGTAATTAAGGAACAAAAGAAGAATAGGCACACTAGCCTGGGAACTCCCTCTCTGCCCAGAACATGGGAGGCTATACACCACACCCCCTCAACAGTATTTATAGGAACTCAAACACTGAGATCCTGCTCTGTTCCAAGTAACAAGAAGCCGAAAGCACCAGCCTGAAGATGACGAGTGAGACCTCGTCGAAACGTCGCCTAGACACCCCAACTTTTACACGGGAAGACACCCGAGGACACCAAAACCTGCATATATATATATATATATATATATATGCATTTCTTAAGTTGGAACGGCTTTCATCTGTCCATCATAGATACATTTGTGCGCTAGAGGTTTGCTCTAAGATGCCTTGAATCTGACCTCATAAAGAAAAGTGATTGTGTTGTTTAATGGTGATTTAATTTCAAAAGAACAATTTTATGCAGCAAAGCAAAAGCTTCAGAATAAATATCTGAACCATGTTTTCCCCTAGGACACTGAGAGCAAAGTAAAATGTGCTGGTGAAACACACATTCTGTTTCAGCAAGTGCATACCCGTGTAACACTCCATAAAGTATGGTTTTGCAAGCCACACTGGGTGAACAAACGACAAACAGTTTCACGTAATGTGACATCCAAACCTGGGATTGTGGTTTCGTTAATCCTAACAAACCATGAATGCTAGCCAGTTTTATTTGCTTAGCAATCATGGTTTGTTAGGGTGAAACAAAAGTACAATCCTGGGCTTGGACATCGTGCTAATCCAAAACCCTTGTGGTTTGTCTTTTTGTTCATGCACTCAGACCATGTGCACATTATGGTGTATTAAACCATACTTTATGCCTTATAGGGTAAAGGTAAAGGGACCCCTGACCATTAGGTCCAGTTGTGGCCGACTATGGGGTTGTGGCGCTCATCTCGTTTTATTGGCCAAGGGAGCCGGCGTACAGCTTCCGGGTCATGTGGCCAGCATGACTAAGCCGCTTCTGGCGAACCAGAGCAGCGCACGGTAACACTGTTTACCTTTCCGCCGAAGCGGTACCTATTTATCTACTTGCACTTTGACGTGCTTTCGAACTGCTAGATTGGCAGGAGCAGGGACCGAGCAACAGGAGCTCACACCGTCGCGGGGATTCGAACCGCTGACCTTCTGATCAGCAAGTCCTAGGCTCTGTGGTTTAACCCACAGCGCCACCCACGTACTAACATGAAACTTTATGGCTCTTGCTCTCAGATAAGTGGCTTCAGCTAAGATTAGGTTTCTCATACAGAAAAACTGGAGTTCTAAGGAGTGGGGAAGACTTGGCATGGCAAAGAAAGTAGCAAGGCTTGAACCTGAATCAGGGAGTCAAGTTATTTGATCTATACTGGTTGAATAATCTTTATAACTCAATTCAAGGTGCTGACTCTTACGAGTTTTCCAGACAGGTGTTTTGGGGTTTTTTTGCAAGTGTATTCTGCAACATGTTCCTGACGCAATAATATTATGTTAATGGTGGATTTATTCTGCTTTAGTTTGTTCTGCAATGTTTCTTCAGGGCTACCACATTATTGCTGTCCATAGGGGCTGTAGTGCAATGAAAGTGAGACACTAATAAACCAGAACATTTATGGTATAAAAAGTTACAAGATTTCAGCAAGAAGCTATGGGGCATGCAATGACTGGAAATGAAGAAGGGTAACCACCCCAAAACTTCTGCAGGCACAAACAGGATTAAAGGGGGGAACTGCGTGTGACCAACCTGATAACATCACAAGCACAAATCACAATGAATGCACAATTTTAAAAGGCCATCTATAGCCCCAGAGGACATGAAAACAAACTCTAGTCATCTCTGCTGCACTACTTTACTGGGTGAATTCAAGCAAGCAAATCCTCTAGTTTAGTCACCCTCCATCTCCGAGTTGTGTGGCACTGAGTATTGGTAAAGCAGTATTTGTTAGAAGTGGTGTAGTGGAGCAGGGACAAAGTGTCATCATACTGGCACACCACGGGAAATGATGTCACTTCCTATTTACTATCCTCGGCATGCCAAATAAGCTCTCCACGGAGCAAAATCCACACAACGTGGTCAGGAAACGGCAGATTAACTTGCATACCTGCCTAAGAGTTAAACGCCACTTTCAGTTTGAAGAAGTATTGAGTCCTCTGTAATTCTTCATGAGGATGACTGTTAACCAGTGAAGGGAGAGCAAAGGCTAAGAAAAAGCAAGCTTGGTACTAAAGGCATCATGTCTGCATCGGCCAAAAATTCGTTTATGTTGCCATCTTATGAAGGGTATGGCTATGGAGGCTTTGCCTGCACATCTGAATCAGGAATGCCAAATTGAATGAACTATTGGGAGTTCCCAGGAAACCCCACCCCACAAAATTAATAAAAAGCTGTGGCACCCGCACACCATTTGAGTGGCAATAACCATCAACTTGGAGGGGGTGACCCCCTCAAATATTTTATTGGGGGTGGTCGCCAAAGGGCCATCGGCCCCTAGGAGGTGGCTCCTATGATTTGAGTTCACTATCCCACTGGGGCATAGCCAGGATTTTGTGGGGGGGAAGGCCTTTTGTTGGGGGGCAGAACCTCAGTTTGCTATGTGTTTCTATTGATTTAGGGGGCAGCTGCCTCTCCCTGCCCCCCCCCTTGGCTACGCCCATGGTCCTCTCAAGAGGCGGCAGGTCACGCTCTCTCGGCAGCCCCACGGAGCCCCATCCTCCCACCCGCGAAGAAAATAAAGAATGCTGCCCTAGGAGGGGCGTTGGTCACCAGCCTCTTCTGCCCGTTTGCTCTCGCTCTCCCGTCTCTGGGCGGAGGAGGCTTGGGAAGCCACGAGCTGCTTGGTCTGAGGGGCGAAGGAGATGCACCCTCTCTCCCAACCCGCCCCGTGGGGCTACTTCGGTACGCTCATAACCTAGAACCATAACCTAGAACCACCTGACGCAGCCCGCCAGCGGGAAAAGGAAGAGCAAGCAGGGCTGCCTGGAGAGCTTCGGTTTCGGTGCGCAGTGGAGTGGCGCCAAAGTGAGCAGCAGTGCGCGCTGAGGGAATTTCTCCCCGTCCGCACCTGAGAGGCGCTTTCGGTTCTCCTCCGCCTCTCGCGCTCGGCTGACCAGAGCGGGGCGAGGGAGGGAGGGAGGCGCGTGTGCGCGCAGAGCCCGAGGCCACCTTCCAGCGCGCACGTGGATCCTCCCGCCCCCCTCCTCCTCCTCCAGGCTCGCTTCTCTCGAGGCGCGCACACAGACACGCGCGCGCGCACAGACACAGCAGCAGCTGTTCCTTTCCAACGGCCGGGTGGCAGCGGCGCGCCGAGGAAGCGGCCAATAGCCGGGCCGGGCCCGCCCGGCTCCCCGCCCCGCTTTGCTGGAGGGAGGGCGGAGCAGCGGGAGTTGGGGAGGTCGCGCCTGGCGGCTTTTTAGAGGAAAGCCAAAGGCGGCGGGAGGCAGCAGAGTCGCCTGCGGCTGGGCCCTGGTGCGTTCCCTTGCTCCGGCTGCTGTGGTCGCTGCCGCCACCTTCTCCGCCTCCTCGTGAACAGCGTCTACCTCAAGGCAGCTCCCGACGCCTCCTGCCTACCTGAAGGGCAAGGAAAGAGCTGACAAGCCAGAGAAATATAAAACAGGGCAGCCTCTGCGGAAGGTGGGAGAAGTTGGCTGGAAGTGAGCGGCACGCGCAAAGCCCACCCAACTCGCCGCGGAGTCTTTCGCCGCCTCCTTTTTTGTACTTTTCCTTTCTTTTCCGCCACCGCCACCAGCAGCCCTCGCTTGCGCGGGGCTTGTAGCTAGAGGAGAGCGGCATCTTTTTGGAAGATGCACACGACGCAGAAAGATACCACGTACACCAAGATCTTCGTCGGGGGTCTCCCCTACCACACCACGGACTCCAGCCTCCGCAAGTACTTCGAGGTGTTCGGGGAGATCGAGGAAGCCGTGGTCATCACCGACAGGCAAACGGGCAAATCCCGGGGATACGGATTTGTAAGTGCGAAGGGTGCGGGGATGGGTGGATCGTGTAACGTGTGGATGTGCGGGCGCGCCTGGAGAGCGGCTAACGCAGCTACCTAAACCCAACTGGCAGGAGGCGGGGGGTAGGAAAGGGGGAAAGGGAGACACTCGGCGATATTTTTGGATCTCGTGTTGTCGTCCTCTAGAAAAAATTAAAAAGCGTGAAGGAGGAGGGGAAGCGTGATCGTCAGGCGACTGGGATGGGTAGAGCAGGTGAGCCAACTGAACTTCCTGGAAGTTAAGTAAAAGTTGTTGTGAGCAACGGATTGGAAAAGCAGCTGGCTGATAGGCGCAATAAATACTGACATGAACTACGAGGTGTCTCCTTTTCCCCTGTCGACGGGATTGTGTATTTTGACCACTTCTTTCTTTTCTAGAGGGTAAGGAAAGGAAAGGAAACCCTGGGGTGGGGGGGGGGAAGCTGTGTGCTGTGCCCTTCAGATGAGATTTGCATCATAACTTGCATATGAAAAGTTGCTAGTGAAATTTTGGCATCCGATGGAGCCAGCTGGTTACAGGCTGATATGACACGTTCGTATTTTTATCTGCTGCAGCACATGCTACTGTGTCAGTGGGTGTTCGGTGCCTGCAAAATTCCAATTCCGTGCTCTGGGAAATGGCAAACGCTTCAAATATAGCCTGATTTTTGTGCGAGAGTAATTTGACAAAAAAAACAACAACAAAACCCACAACAAGCCTAAAGTTGCTGTGTTGTTACAGTAGTAGCGTTTTCATTTGGGTAAGTTCGGAGAGAGCCTCTTGGAAACGGTGTTCCATTTCACATTGCACCAGCTTACTGTACTATATGAGTCGTGTCAAATACATGAGTTCTGATATCCTGCTCTGTTTATTGTCAAGGTAACCATGGCTGACAGAGCTGCTGCTGAAAGGGCCTGCAAAGATCCTAACCCAATCATTGATGGCAGAAAGGCTAATGTGAACCTAGCGTACCTAGGAGCAAAACCAAGGATAATGCAGCCAGGTAAGAACAGTCTCTGTCCTCCCTACCTGGCTTCTTATCAGCCGAGCAGAGAATGAAAACTTATAACCTTATCCTATTTCAGTGAAGCTACTTCAGAACGAATGGCTTGAGGATTGGGGCCCGATTCCTGGAAGGAGCACAATTCTTAAAGTGCCCTAAAGTCTGCCTCTCATGCTGGCCAAGACATGTTAAAGATGGCTTGTGCCAAAAACTTGATATGATATGAGGATGGAAGATGCAGTAACACAAATATGAATGCTGAATTTGTCAGAGTGACAGTACTGCCCTTTGAGCATAAAACCATGGGGTCTCCCATGAGTGTTTGTGGTGGGAGACATAAGATACTTCCATGAGGGTTATATGCTGGAGCTGTGGAAGTAATCCACTACTTCCAGAAGCTGTGCTGTGGTGGGGCTTATTCTCCTGTGAGTGTACACACAAAACAGACAAACACACTTCACTATCTGAGAGAAAAATGGGAAAGGGGGGCTTTGCTTGATAAAATATTTTTAATATCCTTTTGTCTGGATCTGCAAGTCATTGTGCACATCAGTTGTGTTTACAGGGAGCCTTACACATTCCCTCACAAAACAAATGTTTTGGTAAGAAGTTTCCCAGAAATAGGGGTATGAGTTCAGAAACCACAGCCTTGAAGTATAATTTGTATATGTGCTGAAAATGTGCATTATTGGCATTTTCCTCATATTTAAAACTTGCATCTTGGTCCTGTGTAAGCTTACTTGTAGTTAGGTCTCACTGATGCATTGTTTCCCAAATAAATGTGCACAGGATTATACACTTTATGCACATAAATAGTAGATACATAGGACTAGGTACACACTTGATATTTTTCTGCATGTTTTTCAGTGGTACATTACTTAAATGAATGTCCTCCTTTGGCAACTTTAAGCAAATTAAAACAGTGGCACCATTGTTTATTGGCGATGAATTCTGCTATTTTATTAAATATAAATTTCTGGGTCTGAAACCACCCGTTTCCAAGAGGACATGCTAGAGGCTTACTTGCACAATGTGCTCTTGTAATGCCTGGACATATATAAATTTAATAAATATTTTTTAAAAATAGTGCAAATGCGCACCTGCTACATGGTGCAACAGGGTGATGGCAATGGCAGTTGCCGCCATCTTTGGCAGACGGATGCCAACTTTTTTGTCCAGTCTAAGCAGAAGTGACCACCTGGAATGGCTTCCAATTATTTGTGAGGCCAGATTCCCGTTTTGCATTTACAGAAACATACTTTCCCATTTCGATAAGAAAAACCACAGTGTATTATGGGCTTCATGGTCTTGCTGAACTCAGTTTTGGTATTCATGGGATAAAAAGCTACTTGGTTTTGTTTTCTAAGTAAAGGTTGGGGATAACGTGGGCTGAATCTGAGCTACAGTTTAACCTTGGAAGCTGTCCTTAGTACGTACCAGAGCTCAGCCTTCGAATGTGTGCATAATATTTTTTACAGTCAGCCGCCACACATCTCCATATGTGGAATTAGTGCAACGGGTTCCAGCATAATGCTTCTGATTTTAGAAGTTAAAGGCTGGAGATTTTTATTTAGGGCTATTAAGGGAATGTGAACAATTGGCATAGTAACTACCAGGATTCCTAAAATCCAATGGCTGAGCTTCAACAGAATTTCACGCTCCCTCTAACCCACCAGTCTATTCTTACAAACCTCTTCCACTGCAAGCATTAAGGGTTGTTTTATCCCATTGTCCCAAACACCTCCATTTTAACCATTCTATTACCGCCACTGGGTCCTTGATAGTGAAATTGTGTAGAAATCATTCTGAACTAATCTGTTAACAAGGTGGCCAACATGGTTGTAATGTTACAGTAACTCCTTATTTATCTGAGGTACCAAGCAACTGCTTTTTGTTTTGGATTACTGTATCTTGCTTACACATTGGAATCCATAGGAAATATCCTATAACTCTTAACGGGAATGTATGTGAACCTCCGTTGCTTCTCTACAGTGCCTCAGTTCAGACATCATGCTAAACCATGCAATCGTCTGGTAAACCAGAGGTGGAAACCTCGATTTTGAAGTGGGTTTCTGAACTGTATTTTGTACTAACTATGAATTGGCATAGTCTATAAATTGACATATCATAGTTGCTGCTGCCCTGTAGAATCAGCTTATAAAAGTGATTACTGAGAAGATGGTAAACACAGGCAGCCAAACGATTTGTTTAAATACTTGAGTAAACAGTGATTAATCAGACCAGCCCATTTCAGATATAACACTAAACCAACCGTTAGTACTGTGTGAATAGTAAGAAATGAGCCTCTGCCTCTGCACTCCCTTCTCATCTGGTATGGCCACAAGCAGGAGATTGAAAGCCTCCATGTCATGTTTGAGCAGAAGGGAGGCTCAGCTTCTGTACTCCCTTCTCAGTTTATTGTTATGTCCAAACTCAAAAAGGGGGTGGGGCTCAGGTTAGTTTGTAACTAATCAAGCCAGGATCAAACCAGCTTGGTGCAGTGAATCGTGGTTAGGAGATCAGGAGTGTGCAACTGACTTGCAAGTCCCCCCCTCACTCTTGCCAGAATGCCTCTCACTTCCATGGTTTGTCTTAACAGTGTGACGTTATCTCTGCATCAGCACTGTCTGGATTATCTTGATTAGTGTTGACCATAGGGTCAGTGCCAGTTCAGGTATATAACCCTGTACCATGGTTAACTCAAACCACGAATTGCAAATTGAAATTCGTACAGGAGAGGGGCATGCATCCAAGTTTAGAAGATGGTGAATGTTACGTCTGCTCCAGGTTACAGCAGTTTGCCAGAAGTAATAGCTCATTAATTCTACATTATAATGCTCGAGAGAGAAATATTTTCATACTCTATATATATATATATAGCTGATCTTACCAAGGTATTCAAACCATATGGCATCAGATCACATTTTTTGTCTGATTTGTTTACCTAAAATCAGTACTGCACAGTTTATTAAGACGGTGACCTGAGAGTTACTTCTGAGTATACATGAGTAGGCTTACGCTGTGACATATTCCTCTTCACTGAGAAGGATCGCAGGGTGGTTATTAGGATTTTCACGTGAAGTAAATGCAATGCTCACCTAGAGAATGTGATGTGTTTTGTTGTTAGGTTTTGCCTTTGGTGTTCAGCAGCTCCACCCAGCATTAATACAGAGGCCTTTTGGGTAAGTCTGCCTTAAGCTCATATTTGGGGGTGGGAACACTATAGCGTGTACGTCTTAACGTGACCGTTGGAAATAAAATTATATTTTTCAAATTTCCAGATTTAAAATGCCATCACCTCATTGATAATTCTCTAAATAAATACTATATCCGCGTCAAGTGGTGTAAGATGCATGCCGGCCTTGCACTCAAGCAGCCCCTATGCTCGTAAGATCATGTGGTAAACAAGGTGTGCCTTTTAATCAGCCACTGTGCCCCATTCGGTATTTTTCTTCAGGTTGACTCAATGTTATTTATCTCTTTCTAATCTGACAGGGATCGTTTACAGTTAAGATAACTGATGAGAAGGATATGATGATAAGAGGTGGAATAGTTCTGTTTGGAATTAAACTCTGTAACCAGTAGACTCAAACACACAAACCAAGCTAAAATGGTGATTAACGATGCATGTATGTTTTTTTTCTATATAGTCAATAGATATCCGTGTGCTTTTTTATTTATTTATTACAGTAATGAAGTGGTGTTGATAGCTAAACTGTGTGCTTTTATTTATTGAGAGAGCTGTAGTGAAAGTTTTTTGGTGGTCTTTTCATTTTGGTTTTGTGGAGAAGTGTTGACTTTGCCATGGGGAGCGAAGGGACTTTATTTTTTTCTCTTGCTTTCAAGCTGTAGCCTGTGACTTCTTTTTTATATTTATTTTTTAACCGTACTTTGTAGTGAGTGCTAAATTTGTGTGGTTTCTTTTGATTTCTTTTTTTTAAAAAAAGAAAAATCAACATTGCTTGCATGTTACAGTTTTGGTTTTGTTCCTTGGGAAGGGTTTGGAGCTCCCTGTATTAACAATGTGCGTCCACATGCACTTTCCCATTAGAGAATACATATATATATATATTTAGCCTTCCGCAGATTTACTTAAACATATGCTATTCCTAAAGTTGCTATACATTTTTATTCTACAATTAAGCATCAAAGTTGGAGGTGACATCTGCTTGCTTGAGTGTCTTGTACGCTGTCTCCTCTTTGATTAATGTTGAGTAAGGCCCGTGACAAAAAGTTAGTTGAATACTTAACAAGGAAAGGAGGGGGGATAAACTTTAAGCACGCATGCTTATTTGAGAATAGTTTTGAAACACTATATATCTTGAAATGAGACATTAGCAACCACGTTACTGACTGTCTAAACCAAGTCCAAAGTATATATTACATTTATTTAATGAAATTTATACTCCACTTTATTGTAATAAAAACCTCCGAAGTGGGTTGCAAAAAGGTAAAATCGGGGAAAAGTTCCAATACATTAAAACATATAAGATGCTAAAATGCTAAAACAGATTAAAATCCACACCAGCATTTCCAAGCATCTGGGTAGGCTTGTCTAAACAAGAATGTTTTTGGCAGGCGATGAAAAGAATACAGGGGAAGTTTTCCTGCTTGATATCAACAGGCAGGAAGTTCCGAAGTGTAGGTACTGCCACACTAAATGATTGAGTTCTTACAAATGTGGAGCAGGTATTTTGTGGCACCTGTAGTGGCATATAACATTCTCCTGGCATTTTATTAAACCAAGAACAGAGCCCAAGAGCCTGCAAGTTTATGGAGCAGAGCTGGGCAGGATTTTAACCCTTTCCTCTCTCACTGCAGTCTCAATTAAAATGTCCCTCCTCTAGAAAATGCCTTCATTGGCGTCAATGGAAGCTTCCCCACAAACGGTGGGGTTGTTTAATCAAGAACGCAGCATGGGAGGAAAGGGTAACACACACACACCCCTCCTGCATACTCTTCTCCTGATCACCCCCAGCTGCTATTTACATTTTAAAAAACTGGAAATGTTAAACACCCAGTTTGTTCTTTAGCTGGTCTGTTAAGATGGTTGGGCTAGCAGACACCAGCTAAAGAGACTAACGTCACAGATCCTATACATGCATACTCAGAAAGGAATCCTACTGAGTTTAATGGGACTTGCTTACCCATAGGTAAGTGTGTGTAGCAGGAGTGGGGAATGGAACCTAGCTAATGAATCAAATATTTAGATTCCCCCACCTGTAAAATTGAAATATTCTCATGGATCAGAGGTTATGGCAAGTCCTTCTGAAGTCTATTTCCAGGTGCCGTTTTAATCCCAATGGTGAACTCCTTAGTACATCTGATGCTGGTAGGTCTTACTATGACCACCAGTCAGCTGTCAGCAAGATCCGCTTGCAATGGAATAACTGGGAACTTTTCAAACAAGCTGGCAATTGTTCCTTGGTAGGCACCCCTGTCCTTACATGTCCTGTGATGCTGCATGTGATTGCACATGCAGTATGGTTTGGGGTAAAAGCTTTGAGGGACCTGTGCTGGACCTAGTTAGGCTAATAGGGCTTAGGTTCTCCACCCCTGATTGCAACCTAATTAAAGCCCAATCCACAAACAAGATATGTGAGGAAGACGTAAGTTGGATATTTCACCAACTGATATAAGGCTTGTTTAGCCAGCACATGATTTCCCCCCCTTCATATAATTGTGTCCCATCCATTTCTTAAGAGGGTGGAGCAATTTCATGTAAACAGCATTTTGTTTTTATCGAGTCACTTGATGCCTTGGTAATGTGTATATTGGAGGGAAGACTTCTTCTGAATATTAGAGCTCCCCCATTCAACTGGAGTATCTGGAATGAACAAAGACATTCACCAGCACAAAAAACTTAGCAATCAGATCACAATTGCAGTCAAAGTGACCAGTATATAAACTTAAAACACATGTAACTGGAACGCGTAATTGGAATATGCCCCAATACTCAATTTCTGAGATTGGCTACTTAGAAGTATCTGGATAGTTGTGATCCTGCTGATATTATGTCCCATCAAGGTCTGTGAGTATGCATGGATAGCATTGTGCTGTACGTAAAACAATTTTAAAGTAGCTTGTAGGGCTATATTGTAACTGAACGAATAAAAGTCTTATTTGACAGGTTGTGCATATGGTTGAGTTACACTTTAAAATAGATTGAATATGCAACACTGTATTTGAACCCAGGGCTTGCCAACCTTTTTGGGCTCACGGGCACCTTTGCAAACTGGAGAAACTGCCATGGGCACCAGACATGAACATTAGCGAAGCACACATTGCTAGCCATTATATTGTCTGTAATAGAATGCTTATTTCAAAACTAACTTCAGTGAGAAAGGGGACCTCCTGGACACCAACAAAGGTCTCTCTCAGCACATGTATGCCTGTGGGCACCACACTGAAACCCCTTGATTTAAACTTTTTAATTCATTAAAAAAAGTGTGCTGTATGTTTTATCACTTTTTCTGTGGTGTGCAAATCTGCAGGATTGTTTTTAAAAAGACTAAGCTGTTCATCAAAAGTCGCCATTAAGTAACTTCCTTCCAATGGTCACATAGATTTTCATTTGAAAACAGTGCAAATATATGAGGTGGTAGACGTGATGAATAGTGAGGAAATCAGACCCTAAGTGGACATTTTGAAATGCTTTTTACTGTTTTACTAGGTAAGGTTTTAGTAGGTAAAGGACCCCTGCATGGTTAAGTCCCGTTAAAGGTGACTATGGGGTGCAGCGCTCATCTCTGCTTTCAGGCCAAGGAAGCCGGCGTTTGTCCACAGGCAGCTTTCTGGGTCATGTGGCCAGCATGACTAAACTGCTTCTGGCACAACGGAACACACTTGATGAGTGCCAGAGCGCATGGAAACACCATTTACCTTCCTGCCGGAGCAGTACCTATTTAAGTACTTGCACTGGTGTGCTTTTGAACAGCTAGGTTGGCAGAAGCTGGGACCGAGCAAGGGGAGCTCACCCTATTGTGCAAACTCGAACTGCTGACCTTCTGATCAGAAAGCCAAAGAGGCTCAGTGGTTTAGACCACAGCGCCATCCGCTCCCTTCCACTGTTTTAGTATGGATGTATAGTATAGTAGTATAGTAATATTTTTCCCCCTTTGGTATTTTACTTTTGGAAGGTGGGAAACACCTCAGACTTCCTTTGTTTTTGAATAGCATTTTTTGTCTATTGTTGCATTAATAGGTAAATTTTATTTAAAGGTCATAGTGGCTGTCCCTACTAATTTGTAATAATAGTTTTCTTTCCTGATATTCTGCCATTTCCAGAATGCAGGCCATTGGTACTGATAGAAAAGTGAGTGCCTGCTGTATTTTGTCCTCAACTACTGTTAGTCGGATGCAGTGTAATTTAAAAGGATTTAAGCATAGTGAGAGAACCTGGTTATCTTCCATAACATTGCTTCCCTATAAAGCCAGAACTCAGTGCCTTCTGGACTGTCAGTGTCTTCTCCTCCAACTGGTTGTGTTTAGTTCAAAAACATTTGCTTAATTCATTTCTTGGAAATCTTAGTATAACTAGAGTGTTGGTTTTGTTCACATAAATTTTGGTACTTGAAACTCATTTTTAATATAAAGCATGATGATCTGGTGATGGCCAGTTTTGAAGTTTTTACTGCCCATATTTCGTATGATCCATTGTTATTGCCACCATAATTAGCTGGTGCTATTTATATATATGCAGCCTCTTCTGGGATTTATTTTTTTTAACAGTACAGTAATTTTAGACAGTAACCCATGCCCCTGGGAAACAGAACACAAATGGTTTTATTGGGACCCCAATCTAAATTCAAATGTTTCTCTGGGTAGTACAGTGTCCCATAGCGAAGCCATGTGTATTGTGTCAGGAAAAGAGTGCTTAGGTTTGCTTCCATGGACCAATTTTTGTTTGAAAAAGCCACAGGACATTTTGTGTGTGTGTGTCGCAAAACAAGAACATAGTCCCAGACAAAAAATAGGGTTAAAAAAAAATCAAATATCTTGGAATATTTTCTTTGTCCTAGGCTCTTTCTGGGCATTGCTGCATCACTGGTTCATTTCTTGTTAGAAAATGTTTATGCACACGTTACATTGGCTGCGACAAATAAGCACTCTGTGTGTAATATTCAGTTGGTTTTCTTGAGATTTATTTTTATCCCGGGGAATAAATAAAGAACAAAAGTGC